ATGGAATATGAAGAACGAGAGTGTATTCTACTAGAATACACTCTCATTCTGCTGGAATACACTCTCATTCTTCTAAATATGAATTCATTCTGAAAGAATATTATTGTTGACATTAATGACGAATTTAATTAGTTTCCATAAAAATGAGTTATAAGTATATAGATAGCATTTAATATACATATAATTAATAATAAATTTCTTTTGGTGCATTCTAGCACACAATAGATGTGGGAAACATTTGAACCTATCTCTCTCTCTCTCTCTCTCTCTCTATATATATATATATATATATATATATATATATATATATATATATATATATATATATATATTGCTCTCAGTGTTTTTTAAATTGAAGTTCAAAAATACTAAATTATGGGTGAATAGGATCGTGTTAATTAGTAATTAAAGATATAAATTTCGCATTAGGTTTGCATTGAAACGACACCTTAAGTAATCAAGTATACATTTGAACTAAATTAACTATTAGTGGGTATGTTTCTTTTGGAATAACTGTTCATAAGTTTGTAGGTGTTTATGTCTTTATGAATCTTCTTGCTGGATTTTTAAATTTTTTGAGCCATTGTATGTTAAGACTTTCGTCCTTATAAGTCTTATTTGTTGCGAGTACAGAAAATTATTGTCAAATTACTGGCTAATAGACTTTCTTATGTTATTAATGAAGTTGTTAGTGATGAGCAAACAACTTTCATCGAATGTCATGGAATTCTTGACGATACTTGAATGCTTAATGAATTTATCAATATAAGAAAAACTAAAAAAATGGTGTTTAAAGTTGATTAAAGAAAGTCAACGATTCACTGGATTGAGGATATATTAGAAGATGTCACAAAAAATAGGCTTTAGCAAAAATGGAAATCTTGGATTTGTGCATGTTTGGGTCCAACCACTGATGGCTTTGATAAATAGATATCTGACTGAATTTTCAGATGTGGACATGTGGTCTTCGTCAAGAATCATTTATCTCCTTTCCTTTTTAGTTTTGGTTATGGAGGACTTGCACGTGATGATTGTAGATACTATTGATTATGGCGTTTTTCATGGAACTATAATTAGTAATGATGGCCTTTCAATCTTTCTTTTCTTTTTTGCAAAAATCTACAAAAAGATGTGTTATGAAGGTTTGTTTTTGTAAAGGCTACCTATCTCATAGCGAATTTAATTCCAGCTCAAATGTTACAATACCTATATTCAGTTTAACTATAAGGGCATCTTGGATATTATTTTTCACTTTTATTTGGTGTACATTTTTTCTTCAATCCCACTTTTATTATTATTATTATTTCACCATGTTGATGTAAATGATTAGTAGAATACAAAATTTGATGTTATGTTATTTATTTACATCAAGATAAAGTCACACTTTCGATTCTCACTTTTAGTCTATCTCATTTAAGTCTATATATTTCTGGTTTGTTTAAATTAACTAGTTATATTTCAAACATATTAATTAATATTTGTAATATAGTATTAAATATTAATTGATATTAACTATTCATATAAAGGACGATGTTCAACAAAAGTATCCGATAGCTGTAAGTTGTAGGTTTTATTTGTATAAAAGTGTTCAACACAAGTAGCTGAAAGATTTTGAAATATATAAAATTACATAAAAATACATGAATATTAACTAAAATTCAAATATAATGATGGTAAATTAATTTTTCTAAACTACAATTATCAAAAGTTAAAAACTATCCAAATTTTAATACCAAGTGCACCGGTTAATCTTCTCAATTGGTAAAAATTTTTCTATGCATATTAGTAAATGGTGATTTCTTTTACAAATAACTTAAATAAGACTTTTCAATTTTGTAAGAACTCATGACAAACATCTTTTATATGTTACAAGTGTTTTGACTTTTAAAAAAATAATATTATTGTATTATATTAATTTTAGTTTACAAATTCATATAATAAATATTTAATTATTTGTTCAAAATAGATGTGGATTAAAAACTTATAAAATCCGTCGATAAAGTTTATTTTAAATAAAGACGTTATAATTGTAAATAAAGAGTAAAGACATCATAATTGTTAAAATATATTTATATTTAATCGTATAAGATAATTACCAAAACATATAGATATGAATTATTTATTTTAAAGTTATTTAATTCAATTTTTTCAAATATAAAAGAGTTTTTTTATTAAACATTAGTTGAAGTAGTTTTTAAATTTAAATTTTTTTGTTTAATTTAAGAGTTAAAAGCTTATGGTGCTAAACAAATATTTTCCTTTATTTCAATTTTTTTTTTCTTAAAAGCTAAAGCCAAAAGCTTTAAAAGTTATATGACGAACACGCCCGAAATATAATCTTTAACTTTCAAATTTATACGAAAATTTTAAATACATTTTAAAATAATTAAAACATTTTAGCATGTTTATACTGAGATATATCATACGATGCATAAGTAATTCTAACCAATTACATGGTTTATTTAATAGATATTGATTTAATGAAATTTATAATTAATTTATATTAATTATATAGAAATAAATAATATTCTATTATAATTTTATAATACATAATATTTAGAACTATGGTAATAACAATATATATAAGGAATAATGACTTGAAAGGGTAACGAATTTTCGACTTTGTTCACATTTAGTCACTAAACTTTTTTCGTTATCTATTTGCTATTGAACTGTTGAAACTGTTCACATTTTACCCTTATGACCAGCTGTTACCGGTCATAAGGGTAAAATGTGAACAGTTTCAATAGTTTAGTGGCAAATTGATAACGAAAAAAAAGTTTAGTGACTAAATGTGAACAAAATCGAAAGTTCGTTTCCCTCTAAAAAGTTCAATGACTAAATGTGAACAAACTTCCTCTTGTATCTAAATCCCTCCCTCTAAAAAATTCAACTTTCGGATTTCCATATCTAAATCCCTCCCCCTTTTTATAATCGACAAATGATTATAAAACCAAAAAGGGAATGAGAAAACGCTCAATTCAGAATTTTTAATCCAAAACTCTCCCTTTATGACATGAGAGATAGAGAGAGAGACATGTAAACACCTCTATATAAGGTGTGTTCATACCACATGTAGAGGTGTGCTTGAGAGATGTAACATTGAAAGTGTTAGTGTGTGTTAATTATGTAGATTTAGATCTAGATCCTTTTTTATAAACACCTTTCATAATCCAATGCATCTCTTAAACACCCAAATCACCGTGTTCTTTGTGTGTTCTTTAATTCCGCATGCCAAACCAATGGTCATAATTCACAGCAGTGACATGGTTCATTTTTTTGTAAAACCAAAATCAGATTGGAAATTTTGATTTTTTATTTTGGAAAATGTCAAACCATTGGTTTTTTATTTCGGTTTCGATTTTTTGTTTTTTTTTTTAAATATATTTTCAGGGTTTTGTTTTTTTTATTTCATAGATTTCTTCATCAACAAATGTTGCTACAATTTAACAAAAATAAATAATTTGCTAAAACATAATACAAGAGGAAGTTTGTTCACATTTAGTCATTGAACTTTTTAGAGGGAAACGAACTTTCGATTTTGTTCACATTTAGTCACTAAATTTTTTTTCGTTATCTATTTGCCACTAAACTATTGAAACTGTTCACATTTTACCCTTATGACCGGTAACAGCCCGTCATAAGGGTAAAATGTGAACAGTTTCAATAGTTCAATGAGAAATAGATAACGAAAAAAAGTTTAGTGACTAAATGTAAACAAAATCGAAAGTTCGTTACCCTTTCAAGTCATTATCCCTATATATAATAATACTAAATAATATTTGTTAAAAGTATTTGAATATTCATATAAGTTAAATAATACCTTTTAGTATAAAAAACAAAAAAATGATATAGGATGAAAAAAATAAAAAACACTATTTGTGCCTACTCATCTTCTTCATGGCGTGAAATTTTGGAGTTAGACTCGGTCAGAGCCGAGCCCGCTAGCGGCCTTCTCTATCGCCCCTCTTCTCCGACACAATTACATTCGACACCATATCTCACTCTCTCTCTCTCTCTCTCTCTCTCTCTCTCTCTCTCTCTCTCTCTCTCTCTCTCTCTCTCTCCTCCCGCATTTCTATCTGCGCTAGCCGCCATCGCCAGTCTCCACCGCCCTCACCTCCGGTGAAACCCATAAGACGCTCTCGTCTTCTTCTCTTCTTAGCTTCCCAACACTCGTTTCTGTTCATGTAATCATCGTCAATAATCTGAGACTTATTAACTTTCTGGTTTTCAGCTTTCAACCAAGTGGAATGATTAGTTGCGAATCACGGATTCAGGTTAAAACTTTTTATCAACGTCTTGCATAAAGTTTTTAAGTAGTGTGATTAATACCTTTTTGATTTCTGATTTGGATTTACTAGACGATCTCTGTAATTCAAGCCGGTGATAATAACCTTTTGATTTCTGCTTTCGATTCACTACACGATCGCTGTAATTTAAGCCGGCCTCGGGATTTTACAACTTGGTTCTTGCAAGACTGTGAGTATTATTATTTTTGGATGTGGTGTTACTTTAGCTATTTAATGAAGTTATTATTGAATTGTTTTTAGATCTAGGATAAAAAGATCTGGTGTTACTTTAGCTATTTAATGAAGTTATTATTGAATTGTTTTTAGATCTGTGATAAAATGATCTGGTGTTACTTTAGCTATTTAATGAAGTTATTATTGAATTCTTTTTAGATCTAGGATAAAAAGATGTGGTGTTACTTTAGCTATTTAATGAAGTTATTATTGAATTGTTTTTAGATCTGGATAAAAAGGCAAGTACGAAGTGAAATAAATGCACCTTTTTGTAGGAAATCGTGAACTGTACTTTGAAAGTCTCGACAAAAGACAAATTTTAAATGTAGGACCTATTCACAAAATTACTTGAATTGGCCTACACGTTCATTTTTCAATCGTACACATGATAGAATTTAAATTCGTTTCTAATAAATGGAATTTATATAAATTGCAGTGTATACAAACCGTTAGTGCAGACAAACATTTCTCTTAATGGGTCATCCACATAAGGGAAGCAATAAGAGAAGAGGCAAGAAACAAAGCCAACCAATTTCAAATTTGAAGCAACCTGGATGCCAAAACCCTACCTTTGGTCAGACTACTGAGGAATCTATGGTTTTGAGCAGTTTGATGAAAACAGAACAGAGTGGGTTGTTTAACTTTACCATAGTGGAAGAGGATGATGATGCTGCAGTATTGATAGGGGATATGACAGATACAACGACCCTTTTGAGTGACGACGATAATCGGACAATACTTCTTTTGATTTCACAGATAATGCTTCGTGCTCAAACTCTGATGTTTCGGATATATCTGAAAGTAATGATAAACAGATTGCTGCTGTTGGGATTGTGTCAGATATATCATGGAATTCTTCCTACGAGATAATACTTGCAGAGGTTCTGAAGGTGAGTGAACCTACATGTTACTTTCTTCATTTTCTGGTCATCTTTCATCATCAATTAATTAATTTTCATATTGTTTTCAGACAATGGAAGCAATGCCTGATTTAAGTGAACCCTCCCCCGAGCTTTCCAATAGTAGAGAGTATCACAATTCAAACACAACGATTGAACCTGTTAGAGCTTATTTTGAAAAATGTAGCACACATGTAAGTTTGTTATATTACTTTTCATTCTATGAAGGTTTTAAATATGGATCATGTGCCTGGAAATGATGCATGATCACCATGAATTGTTTGGAAATTGGTGATGATAACTTTTTTCGTTATCTAATAATATATTCTTGTGGCCATGAATCATGTGTGACAGTGCCCTGGTAGAACTGCATACTTACCTTCGTCATCTAATCACGATCTCCAGGGTCATATGTCATGTATGAGTTGCTATGGGAGGTAAGATTTTGCAGAAATTATTTGTTTTGTATTGATATGTGATGATTTTGGTGTTAATAATTTTTTTTGGATGGCCACGGGAGTTACATTTATGAAATCAGTTTATTAGAATTTGTTTTTCTTGCCGGATGTTTAGAAATGTTATGAAACAACAACTTACTTTGACTATTTGTGATTTTCTTGTAGGAGTCATATTGATGTTCTTGCTGGTCTCGGAACTTCCTCTGAACAGACTCAGACTCAGGATGTTAAAGAAAAGAATAAATTATATGAACACGACCTTTCTTCCAACAAGAGAATAGGGGTCCAGTGTGGACCCACCCCCACTGATGTTGAGAAGGTAAGTAAAGCTCTATGTTGATAGCTTTTAACATTCATAGAACTTTATTAGTGACGAAGATGAAATGTCCCATTTCAGACTTGTTCTGGTAGACATATGCCTATTAAGTGGCAATTCCTTCTAAAGTCTGTTTTGTGGTCATCTTTCATCTTCACTCGATTAATTTTCATATTTTCTTCAGAATTGGCCTGCTTTATCTCCTATTAAGCCCTCATTTGAATTTTCGAAGAATAGACAGCAACACAACTCAAACATAGAAGTTGTTTCGGATGTTCTTAAAGAAAATTACGTTGTAAGTAACTTGTTCTTTACGTATCTTTAAAATTATGACTTTTATTCTAATGGTTTTATATATGGATGATGTGCCTAAAAATAGTGCATGATCAACATGAACTTTTTGTGTTATATAATATATTCTTATGGCTATGAATCCTTTGTGACAGTTAATTGGTGGGGATTCTTACATTGCGTCATCATCTAATAGTGATCTCCAGGAGGGTAATATGTCATTCAAGAGGTTGTAATTACTTCGTCATCTTATATATTACGGTGTTTTGAATCGATATCAGATGATTTTGGAGTTAATAAAATTTCATTTGGATGGCTTTGGGAGGGAGATTTGTTAATCCATTTATTAGAATTTATTTTTGTCATTGGAAAAAAAAAATGAAGATTTGATGTTTATCAATGTTGTGAAAAGTAGTCCAGCAGCTTACTTTGACTATTTGTGATTTTCTTCTAGGAGTTGGCTTGAAGCTCTTGTGGGCCCCGAAACTTCTTATGAACATACTCTGACTCAGGAAGTTAAAGGAAAGATTCCATTACATGATCCAAATAGTTGGGTGAAGGTAGTAAAAAAGGGTCACACACTCGGGACGTTAAAGGAAAGAGTCCATTACATGATCCAAATACTTGGGTGAAGGTAGTAAAAAAAGGGTCACACATGCAAAAACTTGACTATCTTTCAAAAGACACCGCAAAAAAGCAGCATATTCCTGGTAAGTAAAATGTAGATACGGTTTCACTTCAGAAAATTCAACGATCCACTTTAAGTTTTTTAGGTTTAGGTTCAATATTTTAAAAGAAGTCCCGACCGTTTATGTGTGTAATAATTGATGTAATTTTGATATTTGTTTGTGTGTGAAGGGGGCGATTATAAGAAGTACAGGCATAATGCAAATCAACACTGGGAAAACCAGAAGTCCCTCGTTGAGCAGGCAATAATGTCTACTGTATCGCTTTTAGGCTTTCATTAATGTTCTTGCATATAAGCTGAGCTTTCATTGTCATTCTATACTGCAGGCTAGAAAGGCACATGCAAGTGGAAAATGGGATGAGGGGGTAAATCTCTACGAAAAGGTAGGTACACGAGAGAAAGAGAGGGAGAAGGCCCCCTATAAATGCTACTAAAACACCTTTCTCTTGCAAGAATTTCATGCAACTTTGTTCAATTGATATTGTATTAATATTTTAATGAGCCAACTAGAAACTTGGTTATATAAATTTATGTATGATTGTGTGACGATAATTGAATTTGTGGTTGTTCACACACTTATATACCACCATGGTGATGAATTAAGCCCCAACATGAGTGGTTGGTGATAGGTCATAGGAGTGGTCTTAGGTTTTAAGCCTGAGCATCACCTTTCTTGGCGACATTGTGATTTACCTCCCCATGTTTGTCAAGGGTTCAAGTCCCAACAGCCACAATGTGTGAAAGTTCGGATTCTAATATGGATTAAGCTCCTTGTAGGTACTGAGTTCTTATGGCAGCCACCTACATTATACATTAAACAATGATTCTGCAATCTTCTAGGACATACTTACGTTGTGACTTGAGTTTATAAATTTTTATGCAGGCAAGGATATGGAAAGAAAGGCTGAGCAAGCTGATGAAAGGGCTAGCCAGGATATTTTTTATTCAAGGTTTGTCACTATGTATTGGAGGTGGCAACAAAGCCAACCTGTTATTTACATATACATATACATATATATATATATATATATATATATATATATATATATATATATATATATATATATATGTTGATATTGTTATGGAATACAGGAACAAAAATAATATTGTAGATTTGATGACAATCGATTTACATGGACAACATGTGAAAGAGGGAATGACGATACTAAAATATCACCTTGCATTTGGTGTATATGGTCGATGTAAGTATCTATTTCGTTATATATATAGACACACACATAGTTAATCTTGGTAATCGATGTTGTATATACTGAGTTATTATTCAATACATTACAAGAGTATATATATATATATATACTTTACAATGTTACACTTTGACACCTTCTAATATAATATAAAGTCTAGTCTAATATCCCCCCCGCAAGCTAAGGCCGGGAAGCGACTTGTAGCTTGTTTCTCAAATCTAAGAACCGTTGAACAGATAAAGGCTTTGTAAAGACATCCGCAATCTGATCATCTGTGGAGATAAACTGAACCGACAACAACCCTTGAGCCACTTTCTCACGAACAAAATGGAAATCTACTTCGACATGCTTTGTTCGTGCATGGAACACCGGATTTGCTGAAAGATATGTTGCTCCTAGATTATCACACCATAATGTTGGGACTTTCGTCATGGGTACCTGAAGTTCATGTAGAAGAGTCTGTAACCACGTGAGTTCGGCAACCGTGTCGGCCAAGGCTTTGTATTCAGACTCCGTTGAGGACCGAGAGACAGTCTTTTGCTTTCGTGCAGACCAAGATATAAGATTCGACCCAATGTATATGGTATATCCCCCCGTGGATCGACGATCATCCGGGCAACCAGCCCAGTCAGCATCAGAGAAAGCACTGAAATTATTGAAAGTCGAATCAGTGTAAGCGTGAAGAGTGGTCCCAGAATTGCGTTGTATCAAGAGGCCATATGTCGATGTTCCTTTCAAATAACGTAAAATGCGCTTAACAGTGGACCAGTGATTAACCGTAGGGGAATGCATGAATTGACAGACTTTGTTGACAGCATAAGTAATGTCAGGCCGAGATAAAGTGACATACTGAAGAGCACCAACTATTTGCCGATATTTGACTGGATCATCAAGCAGAGGGCTATCACCGAGGGCAAGATTAGCATTGGTTGCAATTGGTGTAGGCATAGGATTGGCGTTGGATAAATTTTCACGTGCAAGAAGGTCCAAAATATATTTGTGCTATGAAAGGATGATGTCCTCGCCTCTTGGAGTAACTTCTATCCCAAGAAAATAGGAAAGACTGCCCATATCTTGAATTGCAAATGAACGACTGAGACTATGGACCACATGATTAATCGCTTTAGGGTTATTGCTTGTCAGAAGAATATCATCAACGTAGACTAGCATATAAAGGAGTGTACCAGCTTTAGAGTAAATAAAGAGAGATGGGTCAGTTTTAGAACCCATGAAGCCGAGACCGTGTAAGGAGCTGGAGAGGCGTTGAAACCATGCCCGGGGAGCCTGTTTTAAGCCATATAACGACTTATGTAAAAGGCATACATGATTCGGTTTTTGTGGATCAACAAAGCCCTGTGGTTGCTGTAAGTACACGGTCTCCTGTAAGTTGCCATGGAGAAAGGCATTTTGAACGTCAAGTTGTCGTAGATGCCAATTTTGTGCAACAGCTAATGAAAGAACAAGGCGGATGGTTGTAGACTTGACAACAGGACTAAAAGTCTCATGAAAGTCGACCCCTGGTTGTTGACGAAAACCTTTTGCTACTAACCTGGCTTTGTAACGTTTAATAGCCCCGTTTTGATCACGTTTTAACTTATAGACCCACTTGCAATCAACTACATTTGTATTAGGAACACGACGTACTAAAGACCATGTGCCATTTTTTAAGAGGGCCGAGTACTCGTCAGCCATGGCTTGACGCCATTGAGGAAGTTTGTTAGCAACAGTAAAGGATTATGGTTCGGTATCAGGAGGAGTGGTATCGGTGTGAAAGGAGTTGGCATCAAATCTGGGATTCGGTTTGGGATTTTGTCTTAAGTTAGGGGGACGAGTGCGAGGTGGTGGGTTGGAAGGTGGTGGTATGGAAGACTCGGGGAGTAGAAGAGGGATGAGCATGTGTGTAACGGTCATAAGCGGAAGAAGTGGAGGTAGTGGTGGGGTGTGTATATGTGCGATGGGAGTATGTCTGGCTAGAGAGAGGAGCGGGTTGAGATGAAGTAGGTGATTGCATGGTTGGAGATGTTTGTGGTGGTTCAGTTTGAGGTGGTGTGTCATGTTGGTGGTTGGGTAAAGTTGGAATAGGTGGAGCAGTGGGATAAGATGTGTAATATGGTTCATTGAATGGAGAAGGATCAAGAGGAGTTGGAGATATGGAAAACGGAAATAACTGTTCATTTGAAGCGGACATGGCGTACAATATAGATGCGGTCGGTTTGTGGATCGAAGCAGCGATAGCCATGATGGGAGGTACTATAACCGAGAAACACACATGGTGTAGAGCGGAGATCCATTTTATGTTTGTTGTAAGGGCGTAGGTGAGGAAAACATTGACACCCAAACACTCGTAGGAACGAATAATCAGGTTGATGGCGAAAGACAAGTTCAAAAGGTGAAGTATTGGAATTTGTCCGTGAGGGCATCCGATTATTAAGATAAGTAGCGGTGTCAAAGGCAAAATGCCAAAAACGTTGTGGAACATTGGATTTGGCTAATAATGTGAGGCCGGTTTCGACAACGTGTCGGTGACGACGTTCAACATAGCCATTCTGTTCACTTGTGTGTGGACAAGAGAGACGATGTATGATGCCAAGAGTGGAAAAGAAGGAAGAAAGGTTTCCGAATTCACCCCCCCCCCCAATCGGTTTGAACAGATTTAAGTTTAGTGTCAAATTGGCGTTCAACAGTGAGAAGAAATTGTTTAAAGGTAGGGAAAACATCAGATTTTTGCTTTAAAGGAAATATCCACATGAATCTAGTAAAATGATCTACACACAATAGAAAATAATGGTGACCACCAAAGGATGTAACAGGAGCAGGACCCCAAACATCACAAAAAACAAGATCCAAAATATGATTGCTTTTAATATTAGATGGTAATAAATGAAGTTTTGAGGACTTGCCAATAGAACATGAATCACAAGAAATACTAGAAAAATTGTTTGTCAAAGGTAAACGAAACTTACAAAACATAGACTTCAAAAGTTGAGGGTGCAGGTGGCCCAATCTTTGATGCCATGTAGTCGGAGAAGCACGAGTTGCAGAGAAGGACACTTTAGATTGCACTCTTGGGAGGTTGAAGGAATAGAGACCCCCGTTACTTGGACCCATGTGGAGGATATTGTGTGTAGACGTGTCCTTCACAAGAAAAAAGGTAGAATGAAATTCAAAATAAATATTATTATCTTGACAAAATTGTTGAACAGAGAGAAGATTTTGTGTAATGGCTGGGACATGTAGGACATTGTTTAAGATTGAATGTTTTGTTGGGTGAATAGAAGCTTGAAGAACCAATATGTAAGATAGGTAAACCTTTACCGTTGCCAACATGAAGATTATCCTCGCCATAGTAGGCTTCAGAGTTGTAAAAACTAGACAGATTTGATGCAACATGATGGCTCGATCCTGTATCTAGAAGCCAGGTACTTGAAGCTTGTGAACGGTAATCAGCATAGTTGGCAGACGGTGCCTGTCTCGATCTGAGTGTACTGGGGTCACGGTTTGGACATTGAGACGGTACATGCCCTATACCACACCTGTTACATGTACCAAAAACAATATTTTGATTAGATGCCCAACTAAACTGATTACGAGTACCTCCTCCTTGAATGCGATTGTTGTAGTTCCCACGTCCACGATTGTTGTTGGAATTGCCTGGTCGACTGTTTTGAGCCCGATCATGATTGTTCTGAGATCTATTTGTGTAGTGTGCTTGAGGTTGTTGGGAACTAAGAGGTTGCAACTGAAAACCTAAATGAGCAGCAAGTTGTTGAATGGCTTGAACTGCCTCTGTGGAAGCCTGGTTGGAGATGGTTGTAGTGGCTGGTTTCCGAATGGATGTTGGTGCAGTGAAGGCTTGCGCTGGAGTAACCTCGGTGGAGGTTTTTGAGATCATATAATCATGATCTAACAGTAGAGCATGAAGATCAACGAAGGGAATAGGGACTTGACGGGCAAGGATGGTTGACTTTAGACCATTGTATTCTTCACGCAACCCAAATAAACGAGCATAACCAAATCTTTTTCTTTCATGGGTTCGCCTATGTTGGCTAGGGCATCCGAGTATTCTTGAGCCCTAGTAAGATAGGCAGATGACGACTCATCAGGTTTCATTTGTATCTTCAACAATTGAGTCTTCAAGGTGTATTCCCTTGAAGAGGTATGAGGGGCAAAAGCACGTTCCAGAGCAAGCCATAATTCTTGAGAATTGTTTCCTTGAACATGTTGAAAAGCACTTTCAGGGATTGTGGACAGAACTATCATCCTTACGTGAGCATCATTCAAAACCCAGATTGTAAACTCAGGGTTGACTTGTGTAACAGCTGTCGGTTCTTTGTCTTTATCAGAAGAGGATGTAGTCACTGAGATTGTAGATGAGGGACAAGGAATGGTACCATCGATATAGCTGAATAGATTGTTTGTTACAAGAAAGGGCTGAATCATCGTTTTTAGTACCCGTAATTGGTTGAGGATAGTTTGAAACCAAACTTGTGTGAGTTGTGAACGGTTTTCTCAGCTTGAGTAAAAGCAACAAGAGTTGTCATCTTGTTCTGTGATTACCTGTGATTACCAGGGAACAGAAAAAAATAGAAGAAGATGGCAGTTGACGACTTCTGGAGGGAGAACGGCTAGTGCGGCTGCCGATTAGGTTTAGGGCTCTGATACCAAGTTAATCTTGGTAATCGATGTTGTATATACTGAGTTATTATTCAATACATTACAAGAGTAAATATATATATACTTTACAATGTTACACTTTGACACCTTCTAATATAATATAAAGTCTAGTCTAATACACATTGTGTTTTCGATTGTTTTTTAATCGTTGTGATATACAGCTCTGAGGCGGCTCCGCGTTATCACCGGATATGGGAGTGGAGGAACTGGGCAGTCGATGCTGAAACTGGCGGTATGAAATCATGCCTTTTTAATGTAGAAATGAGCATTACCTTATTAACTGTTTCAAGGATCAATCATCTCATGTTTTTGTATAGCTTAAGATGTCTGAATGTTTGTTGAATGTTTGTTATAGGTTGTTGATCTCTTAAAAACGGAGAAATTTGAGTGGGAGAAAGAAAACGAAGGTAGTCTTCTAATCAAATTCGACATGAAGAAGAGAAAGTTGGGGTTTGTGAAATTGTAGTTACTCTCATTAATCTTTTTTCCTTCCATTTTTCCTTTGGACAATTTGTTTTTTTTTCGAAAGAGATGGACAATTTGTTGTATGAGAATGAAACAAATATGTGGCCCGTGAGTTCGATTTCCCAAAACCCTTTTGAACATCGGTTAATTTACAATGCCAGAAATGATAATTAAGCAATGATCAACGATTATTTTTAGATTAAAACTTGGTTTAAGATAAAATGTTTGGAAAATATAATAAGTAAGATGTAACGTCCCAAAAATTAACACAAAAAATTTCCGTTTTAAAATTAATAAAATTATTATCCAAAACATCATAAAAACCATGGTGAAACAAAGTGTATCAACTACAACACAAAACTTTAGAGTAACATAAAATGCATAACGAGGTGGTGTGTGCACTGCAATCATCATGGGCTCTTCCCCTCCGAACTAGAAGTACATGAAAACATAAACTGAAAACCATAAGCTCAAAACTTAGTGAGTTCCCTAGAATACCACATACCATACATAATAAATATATAATGGGCCCCGCTTGACATCGGGCCCCGCTCGGTATACAGATCTGTCAGTAAACATATAAACACATAACACGTGCAATAATCACAAAGATAAATAACATACATAATGGTCATTGGGCCCCGCCTGGTAAACATACAAACACATAACATATGCAAGAGTCACGCAGACATCTAGCATCCTAAACATAACAAACCATGGGCCGACATTTGTGCCTTCGACCCGCTAAACACAGTGAGGATCACCTCTAGCTTCTGAAAAACTCAAATGAATCTCGGCCTGCTGGTCCGGAAAATTCTCGTGCTATCATCATCTAAATAATTAATATCCAATTAAAAATTAGATCTCGACCCATAACCAAGAATCTAAGCTACTTCGCCCATAACCAGGGTAAAAGAGCATTTTACCATTTTTCTTACTTGGCCTAAAACCAAGGCCCAACCTAACTACTTGTCACACCCCCAAACCAGAACGGTGGAAACGTTCGGGGGCGGAGGACGTCATGTAAAGTATCATAACAATTGAATAGTAAAGAAAGTACACACCACCATAACATATATTTGAAAAGTTTACATGATTGTTGTATTACATGTTTCAAAAGTCAAATACAATATGATGTTACAAAAGATATTACTAACGTCAGAGCATTAGTCCCCAAAAGCAGTTGCTAACCTGGTTTAGCGATTTCCTGAGAATACAAGTTATTTCAAAGAAAAAGTGTCAATAATTAAGTTGGTGAGTTCATAAGTATATATTTGTATGCCAGTCGAAAGTTTCGGGTTTGATTTCCAGAAAATCCGATATTTTCTCATAAAAGGAGTTATGAATCTTTGTTTGTATAATAAGGATGTATTGGACCAGGAAAAACCTATATTTTCCTAAACATGAGGTGTAGTCTCAAATGTCCAAGACTATGATTTGTTAGTAAATATGTCATACTTAAAATAATGTTGCATAGTTTTATTAGTGAACAAAACTATAAGAAGTTTGTAATTTGGCGTAAAAGTAATTGTAATATTACTTTTCCCGCAAAAACATAAATACCATAATAATTGTCTATCCTATGAGTTTTCATAACCGTACTATGATGGGTTTGCCTGCGGCGACGTTCTTCAGGCATCGAAGCGATATGATATTTGTCACCCCGTGGACTGTAGCTAATAGTCAGGGCTCGGGATCATCAGTCCCGTATAGATCTATAAACACGTATCACGTTCTCACAACAGAGACTCTGGTTATAAAACAGGGTTTTCTAGTGGTACCTTGACAGGTATGGTGAAGACGATTGACTCACATATTCTCAATTAAGTCACGTATTTGGAAAGATATATGAATGATTTCTGAAATGATTACCCTATCTACAGTGTTAACATAGGCATAATAATGAGTTGCATTTTATTATATATACATTATGTTATAGTTGAAATGGTTACTCTTGGTATGATGTAGTATGCAGATATATAAATAAAACATATTTCTATTTATAAAACATATTGTACCCCATGAGGGTAAAGTTGCGATGTATGATGTTTTGCATGATAATAATTTCATAAGATAGTTAAAACAACAGTATGAAAAGTATAGCAAAAGATTTGTGTTTCACACGAGTTTAACCGTGTGTTTATTTGTATTCCCCCCCTTAAAAGCGTTTAAAATCATTTAAAAAGCATTTGAAAACTTAGTGATAGGGGTATGAACTCACCTGATAGAAGTGGTGAGTTGAAGAAGGCGAGACTAAACTCGAGCAGTACTTCGACTGGAAAGAAGCAAGTTCCTAGGGAACTTCGGGACTTCGAGCCTTGCGTCGTGTGCTAGGTTGTTATCGGGGGCTTCGGGTGGTTCTCGGGATGCTTAAACAGAGTAGAAGTGGGAGAGAGGATGGGGTTGAGCAACCAAAGTCGGAAGGCTTAGATTTCTATATATAGCCACCATTTTGGCTCTCACGTCGTGAGTTTTGCATAACTCACGTCGTGACTTTTGGTCTCGAATCGTCATGACATGCGTCACTCGTCAACTTGCTCTGGAAGGGTCATTCAGACTGTTCACGTCGTGAACACTGACAATTTCTGACACAGCGTCGAAAATCGTGTCTCGAACTTCAGAAATTCATATCTTTCGCATACGAGCTCCGTTTTCGACGTTCTTTATATCCACGCGTAGGTGAGATTATTCTCTACAACTCTCGTTTAGACTTCGTCGGCTAATTTTCACTTTATTTTTAGTATTATATTTTTAACAGGCCGGGACAGGAAAAGTCCGTTAAAAATCCATAACTTCTTCATCCGATGTCCGTTTTCGTCAGAATTTTTACCGTTTTAATACCATTGATGAGATCTTCGATTCTCGTTTAGGTCATGTTGGAAAAAAGTCGCTCGATCTCTATTTCGAGTTTTTAGCTGTCTACTGCTATGTCCGAAACTTCGAAAAATCATAACTTCCTCATATGAAGTCAGATTAGGGCGTTCTTTTTATGTATGTTTACGGTTTTGGGATATATATGAATTTCATTTAGACACCTAAGGTTGAAAAGTATTTTATTGAAATTTCTCGTTTTATGCTTAACAGTGTTTTACCGATACCGTCGCGTATCTTCGATCGGTCATAACTTCTTCGTTATAACTCGGATTTTTGTGTTCTTTATATTTTTGGAAACCTTGTTACGATATCTACCACTTAGTATACTCAAACTGAGCTTTTCGAACATTTCATTTTTTATGTTATTCCTATTATATTATGCTAGGTTACCAAACTCGACTTTGGATCGTTACATTGATTCGAAATATCGGGTTGTTACATCATCCCCCCGTTAGAGGGAATTTTGTCCAGAAATTATTTACAAGGTAAGTGTCTATGGACTAGGGAAGAGATGCGGGTACTTTGTTGCATCTGATCTTCTCGCTCCCAAGTGAATTCAGGTCCTCGCTTAGCATTCCAGCGAAACTTCTCTATTGGTATGCGACTTTGCTTTGTTCGCTTGATTTCCCCTATCCATGATTTCGACAGGTTCTTCCACAAGTTAAGATTTTCATTCAACTCGATTTCCTCGAGTGGAATTACAAGGGGTTTCATCAGATAAACACTTCTTTAGATTAGACACGTGAAACATAGGATATACGTTGTTAAGTTCGAGTGGTAGCTGGAGTCTATAAGCTACTGGACCAATCCTCGAAGTAACTTCGAAGGGTCCAATGTAACTTGGGTTTAGTTTTTCACGCTTCCCAAAGCGTATCATGCCCTTCCAGGGTGAGACCTTCAGTAAGGCGCGGTCACCAACCTGAAATTCCAAGGGTTTTCGTCTTTTGTCGGCCTAGCTCTTTTGTCTATCTCTTGAGGCTTTCAGTTGTTCACGGATTTGGACAATCTTTTCAGTTGTCTCTCTAATGATTTCCGAGCCAGTGAGAGTGCTATCAGGGACTAGGCCTCTCGCCAACTGCGTGTTACCCACTTCCGCCCAGCACAGAGGTGATCTGCACTTGTGGCCATAGAGGGCTTCAAAAAGGAACAGTCGTGATGCTAGTGTGATAACTGTTGTTATACGAGAATTTCAACTAATGGTAAGTGGATGTCCCATGCTTTACCGAAGTCTATTACACAAGCTCGTAGCATGTCTTCTAGGGTTTGGATAGTTCTCTCACTTTGTCCGTCAGTTTATGGGTGATAGGCTGTACTCATATCTAGCCTAGTTCCCAAGGATTTTTGCAGTGATTGCTAGAATCGTGATGTGAATCGGCTATCTCCGTCTTAGATAATAGATATTTGGCACTCCGTGAATTCGCACGATTTCATGGATATATAAGTCCTTGTCAGTCTTTCCATCTTATCGGTCTCCTTGATTGGTAAGAAGTGGGCAGACTTGGTTAACCTGTCGACGGTTAAAGCAAAAGGTCTTTCCATAGCATATGGAGCTGGTATAGTGAGGACCAAGCCAATCCATTTCTAATAGCTACATGGGAACTTCTTATCGTAATGTGCGTTACATCGATTGTTTAGAGTGATGGCATCTTCTATGTATGTATCTTTAGCGCCTTCTGTTTTATTCTTGTTATTACTGTTGCGAATATTTGTACCACTTTTATAGCTAGTATAGGTAGTAGGACTACTTTGGTAAATACTGGTGGAATATCGCAATATGATCCCTACAAATTCCCTCTACCCTCGTTTAGTGTAAACAAATCGTATATAGTTAAGATTGAGATGATAGTTGACTGAGAAGCTCTGCCCTAAGTCCAAAATCAACCAATAAACAGGAAGTAAAGCGGAATTACTTACTCTAAGTCTGCAAAATCTTAACAATGTATGACCCTAATGTTATACTAAGCCATCCTAGCTCACCCGTATGGATCCTAAGTTTTTATACGACTGATGTGTTAATTTATGATTTTGATTTAATTGACTAAAACTTTTATGAAAATTTGATGTTTAATTATTGTTATTAGGAAAACGTACCAAAATTCAAGTAGGTTCTCTGTCGTTTCCTTATGACTCGTCGTTAAACTCCTCTTGTTCCTCCATCATTCCTCTCTGTCGGGCAATCTCTCTTAAAGTGCCCCTTTTCACCGCATAAATAGCATACTGGATCTACTCCAACAGTGGGGATCGGAGCCCTACAGTGATCGTTGGTGTGCCCTTTCTTCTTGCACCTATCACAATACATCTC